AAAAAAAAAAAAAAATTGTTCTAGTTCTTATAAACAAGCACGACCTTATATCATCCCTTTATAATTCTAGTGATAACTCATTCGTTAAGTTTAAAATTTGTCTCATTACAAGAAAACAAAATATAAAATCAAAGGATTGTATCTGCCCAAGCAACAAATTACATTGTCCTCTTTGATCAACAATAGCCTCATCATCGATTATCATTTCAATAAATTTAATTATAGAAGAGAGCATAAAGATAATGTTCGACTTTGTTTTATATAGACTATTAAAAAAACTTCAAATTGTTTTTATTATGTCTAGTAAGTTCTCTAACTTTGCCTTTTCTTCCTAAATATTTATTAAATTAAAACTACATATGTATAACAACAAAAATCCAGCTTGGGCAGTTGCCCAGGCTGGCCAAGTGTCAATCTGCCCCTGATCAAGCCTATTATAAGCTAACCAAATAAACTGTAAGCTAGTTTATTTGTCTACCAAGCCTTAGTCTTCACGGACTGGTTCAACATATTTTTGGATCGAGGCAGTATATGTTTAGCTAGACCTTATAAGATAGGTCGACATATTTCTGGACCAACTCTTTTGAACTAGGTCGGCGTATTTTCAGTTCATCTCTTCTACGCTAGGTCGGCATATTTATGGATCAGGTCGAGATATTTTTAGTTTTCTACTGACTTGAAAATTTTACGACTTGCATTGATATCAACAAATGGTTAGATCAGTTAAACGTAATGAAGTGTTCGTGTGTTAGGCTCAACTCGTTAAGGCTCCTGATTGGGTCGACTTATAAAGCTCATTTAGTTAATGAGTCTAGCTCAATTCGGCTCGTTAATGCTTAAAAATATGAAATTTTATAAAAATTTATATAGTTCGATTTTTTAAGATTCGAGTTCGATTCATTAATGTTGATAAACTAGCATAGCTCGAGCTCTTTTATCTGTTCGAGAAAGAAAATCTCGAGCTCGAGCTCGCTTGTTTATATCCCTGATAATGGTTAGTAACTCATACATTCTTAACACAAATTCATATTTCTATCATGAAATATCATACGGTTATTTAAATGTTTATATAAAATATGAGTTATGAGCATAAAAAATATACAAAAATTATTTAAAAATAAATATGATGTTTTATCATTAGATGACCTAACAACAACATTAGTGTTGGATGACATTTCATTTTCATAACCTCTTCTTTATTTATTTATGGTTAGACTTTTTTAATGACTAAAAGTCCCCTAATTTTTTAATTTGGAAACTCCATACATTTTTGTAATTATTGTTTGGGATCTTTTATTAGCACAATGAGCGACGAGTGAGGCGCGAAATGTGGAAAATGAGGTCTGAATTGGGGGGACCCACGTGGCGGGACTTTGGTTGCACGTCGCACTCGATTATTGCCTACGCGACCTTCATTCTCTGACTTACACGTGGCGTAGTCTGTAATTTTTGCCCAATTTATGTATGTGGTGAGATTTATTACTACTATTATTTTTGCAATGTTTGTTGGCTGTCATGGGCTCCGGCCCAACTGAAAATGCTTCAGGGTAAAGACAGTTTTAGTTATGGGCCGAAGATATGACCTTGCTCTGGAGTAAGGTAGAAGTCGTTAACATTTCAAAGGCCCACTCCAGTTGATCTGTGATTTCATAGTTCACAGCATTATTAACTTCAAATTCTCAATTTATTTTTGTATTTATTAAATTTTTATCTATATATATATATATAATTGCTGGCATGTAGCATTTAATAAAACCTATTTAATAAAACCTCTAAAATTTTCCCACCATTTTCGGTTACAAAATTTGTCATTAATATTTTTTACTTTTCACATTAATACATCTTAATGAGCGTAATCATTTATGTTTCTTTTATATTATATAATAGTTATTGCTAATATCAACTAATAATAATTCACAATAAATATAAATTACATAATTATAAACAATTATTTCAAGTTATGTATTTTAACAACAATATTATCTTTTTCTTTTGTATCTCATAAAAAACTTCCTTAAAAACAATTAGTAAATTGTTTTAATAGCATAGTTAAACAACTTTAGAATCTTATAAATAATTTTCTTTTAATAATATATATATATATAGGGTCGCGCTCACATGAGAATGATGCTTAATGAAAGAA